GTTAGGTAGTAAAAATTGAATGCTCAAAGTCACTGAATTCAAGGTACAGTATAGAGGTCACCATATCTTGGGGGGAAGTGACAAAAGAGACAGAAACTATATAAAATGTTTACTTTCTTGCCTTTACAAGAGCAAAAGAATTCAAGAATGATATAGGAATTTAAGCAAGTCAGGTTAAAGTTCCTACAAAGATTCCATGTTGAAATCTGCACTTCAAGCCACTTTAAAAATGACATTCTTATTCTAGTGAATTAATTTGATAAACTTTTATTCAGTTCCTGCTATGTCAGAGAATAATTTAAGGCTATTCTAGGCTTTTGGTGCATATCAGTAAATAAATGTCTTACCTTCAGGAAGTAATAATATTAAAATAAGTAATACTACTTGCAAATTAAATGACAGCCAGAGGTGGGACTTTGGGTGGCTTAAAGAGTTTTGCTCAAAAGTGTGTGGTGGCGCACACCTGTAATCTCAGCATGCAGGGAGGCAGAGGCAGGCAGATCTCAGTGAGTTCAAGACCAGCCTGGTCTACAAAGTGAGTCCAGGATGGCCAAGGCTACACAGAGAAACCTTGTCTGGACCCCCCCACCCCCCAAAAAAGTTTAAAGATTTTGCTTTACTATGGAGCATATTTTGAGGCTGCATTTTTAACACATGACTGTGTATCAGACAAAAGCCTTTCAGGAAGCAGTGTGTAGCCTAGTGGGTTCAAGCAGGCTTCTAGACATTGCCAACTTCTTACTTCTCCTAAATTGTCTATTCTCATATTCCTTGTGACTGGGTATTTATTTGTTAGCATCAATATTCCAAAGAACTCTTTCGGAGACTCTGCCCTGTACTCGTATCTTTATTCACAGAACTTCGCAGGTTCTATTAAGAAAGCTTATATTTCCTTATGTCATTTGCCAATGAGGCAAGACAGCAGAGCTTGCCAGCACTGAGATTAAATCCTCAGAAATCTCGTGTATTTCAAAATTTGCCCTTACTCCTTTGCTCTTGACATCTAAACATGTTTGGTGGGCCTGTTGGAGGACAAGGGCATGTGAGTCAGAGACCAGTTGCCTCAGTCTTCCCAAGAAAGAGCCATTCCACTTCTTTATGAGAGAATCCAATCAATATCCTTCTAGGTAGGAGATTGTCAGGCCACACTGAGGATGCAAGATACAAGTAGAAGGTAGCACAGAGACAGAGCTCTTTCTTTTCATAGCATACATACAGGTCTAACTTGTAGTCATTTATCACAGGCTCTTTTCTTTGCTTCTGGTGCCCCCTCTGGGCTGGGGTGTGCGGATGTATAGCCAGAATCAGAATTCATAGAAGTGGCTCTAGAGTCATGACCAATAGAGTTGGGGAGGCACAGGGCTTCATTTCTCCCTGTTAAGTTTTGTATTTTAATGTTTCCCTAAGAAAGATGAGGAAGCAAGCCTCAAGATTACACCAAATATTTTAGTTTCAATTCTGGTGACCTCCTTTCCCTTAAGTTATCAAGACCTATGCTTAAAAGTGGACTTACTTTTATTATTATTATTATTATTATTATTATTATTATTATTATTATTATTATTATTATTAAGCCAGTTCAGTGTTATAGGCAGATAAAGGCCATTCTATCCTTGTGAGGATGCATCAATTCTGGAAATAATACTGGCAAACTAAGGTCTTTTCTCAAGTTGCATCAATCAAGAGCAGAGGGACAATCACCACCCTTATGGCTGTGAGAAACAATGACCCCACTTCAAAATGAACACACCAGAGACTTAGAGTAGCAAAGGCGAAGCACTTTATTTTTTTTGACCTTGCAAAGTCAGGCATCAGCAGAGAGAACAGGCAAACATAGCAAGCACAGCAATTTGGCTCAGAACAGTGGTTTTTATATCCCTAATTGCATTTCTGTGTCTCCTGAATTCACCTGTGGCTAACTTCTTCAGGCACAGTCTTCCAAGTGTGTAGCATTGCTCCATTCCCAAATTCCCCATTCTGTCATTTCAGGCTGCAAAGTCTCATCTAATGTATATTCAGGGACTCAAGATTTCCTCTTTTTCTGATACATGTGCTTGGCCGTGGAAGAGACTCATTGTAATATTTTAACCCTAAAAAGAATTGAGAGCAGCTAGACAGGCAGGTATCAGCCCACAACTAGGGAAGACATAGGTCCTGTGCACCCTGTTTATCTATGCTTTTCTGAAGAGCTCTAAAGGCACCCCAAATTGAAAATGGATCATAATTACTTGTTTCTTAAAATTCCTTTCTTTTTCTTCTACTATTATTGATCATATTTTCAAATTTATTTGAACTTTTAAAATTGATCTAACACCCTTTATCTCTCCTTATCAAAGGACCAATCATCTGATCTAGAGCCTAAAAGCTGATTTTAATGTGTTATGGGCATTTGATTGTTGGCAGTTTTAGGAATTTTTGAGTTAGCTTCATTATACATGGAATAATGCAACATCCTACCAGAGTTAATTCTCGTGCTCCAATTATAAGGTAAGTTAGGACCAAAACCACCAACCCTAGCTAGGCATGGTGGTACATGTCTTTAATACCAGCACTCAGGGAGGCAGGGGCAGGTGGATCTCTGTGAGTTAGAGGCCAGTCTGGTTTACAAAGCTAGTCCAGAATAGCCAAGGCTACACAGAGAAACCCTTTCTTGAAAAACAGGGATTATTTTTGCATTTCTTATTTCTTTTTTTATTTGTTTATTACAACTTATTCACTTTGTATCCCAGTTATAGCCTCCTCCCTCATCTCCTCCCAGTCCCACCTTCCCTCCCTCTTCTGGCAATTTGGATTTTAATCTTAAATTCACTTAGAACTCCACTGGAAATTCTCATAGAGTGATAAAAACATGATAATACCAAGGTCTTATTTATGTCTTAGCCCTGGGTTAGCTTTATTAAGAGGAAGAATTAAGGAGAAATGGTGCGACCATTTGAAACAGCATGCAGGTCCCATACCAGTTGGGTGATAAGCTTGAGTAAAGTGTCCCCTGTCTGAATTATCACCATGTATCAATAAAGACAGAATAAGAATAATTACTCATTTGTCATTTGAGACATCCAGGACATAGGTATAGGCTCTGTGACCCCTCAGAGGGTAAGCAAATCTATTCTGATGTCCCAAGAGGCATAAAGAGTAATTCACCCTCCCTATGGAGAAAGGAAGAATGCAGGTGGGCCAACCACGAGAGGGACGGACTCTGAAAAGTCTCATTTTCCAGGACTTCATATCCTGAAAGATGATCAACATGCATTTTACTCTGGTTGAGTCTGTGTATCATTCAAGGGGAAAGAATACTACCACTTGAGCCTTGGCACATCATGCTGCAAAAGCATAACAATCACTGTCATTGAGCACATATACCATATATTTAACCCATCCTATACAACTATTTAATCTTCCATACTTGGTTTCTACTATATAAAGTCTGTCTTATGTTCTTGTCTTTAATTATCTTCTTTCTTTGTTGTTGTTCCTGAATTTTGAGACTCCTATAATGTAAAACTTGACAGGCATCATATTTTATGGTAAGTAGTAATGAGGTTTTAGTTTCACTAATCAATAAGCCAATAGGAAAAGAATATGGAGACATATCTGGACATTTCCTTCATCCTATCTGAAAACTTTATTTCCTGTGTAGCAGCAATGTACTGTACATATATTAGACTCCAGAGATCGGGCAAACCAGGGATTCTCTTAAGGAAATGCAATGCTAAAACTAGATTGGTTTGAGAGCTTTAAAAAATGGGCTAGAGTATTCTTTTAGAGGATTCTCTGCTTCACAATTATTCAAACATATTATAAGCAGCATACTTAGAATCATCATTGTCCATTAGGTAATAAGGGATCATCAGGCTCTTTATAAAATTACTTTAAAGGCTCTCTAGACGACCCATATGTTCCTCATTCTTTTGGATGTTGATGTGGCCTTGACTGGTTTTGACTTGGGTGTAGTAATTCCACCTCTTTCCAGTATTCTAGATAGTTGTTTTGATGATAACAAACATTTGATAAGAACCTCCTCAAGTGGTCTGGAGCTTGTCTTCTCTCTGGGTTTATAGCAGTGCCAGTTGGTCAGGTTGGAATTGATGAACTGAAAACTCCAAAGGTAAGGTTGGACAAGAAGTCCCTTAGACCTGAGGGATAATTTGGAGAAAACAGCAAATACACATTTTTTTAAGTAGTTTTTGAAAAGCTGGGTGCTGTGGCACAGGCCTTTAATCCAAGCACTCTGGGAGGCAGAGGCAGGGTGATCTCTGTGGGTTCGAGGTCAGCTTGATCTACAGAGTGAGTTCCAGGACAGCCAAAGCTGTCCGCAAACTTTACTGTGGATCCCTACAACCTAGGGCTCTCGCTACATATTCTGACTTTTATTCAGTAAGTCCAAGGCGAAATCTGCGGTACTGCATTTTTTTTTTAATTCCACTCCCAGGTGCTGCTGGTGCGGAACTGAGGCAAAGACTGAGCACAGGAGGTACTGGAAGTCATCACCTCTGCTGCCAGGTGTGCTAGTGCCCAGCCTCAGCATCCCGGATCCGTGCCCTGCACATCCCAGGCCTTCTGCAGGGAGGGGAGGAGCCGAGGGCGGAGCGGGAGGAGTGGCGCGGGCCCCGCGTGGGTCCCTGCCTGAGGAGATCACCTCAGCCTCTTGGAGAGCCTCTGAGCTGCGGCGGCGCAGGAGGGGGCGATTTGGCCAGGGCGCAGCCTCCGGGACACGCATTCCCCACTTCCCCACGCTCTCTCTCTGTGGCCACTAGGGAGCCTCGAGGCAGTCCGTTGCCCCACTTGGCCACCCGCTCCGTGATCCCTTCTTGTTCCTGCCTCTTCTTGTCACCTCTCGTCTCACCCTTCTCGCTCCATCCCCCCCCCCCCCCCCCCCCCAACCCCAGCGCATCCATAGCCATCTGAGCGCCTCTGAGAGCAGGAGGTGCTGTTGCCGGGCTGCAGGGCGCACCCTCAAAAGGTCCCCAGCTCGACATTGGGTGCCCACGGGCGACAGCATGGATACCAAGCGCTGTTTCGCTAACCGCTTCGATGACTACCAGGGTAGCCTGCTGGTGGGCCAGTGCGAGGAGGCTGTGGCGCCCTTGGTCACCTCTACCATCGAACGCATCCTTCAGGAGCTGCCCCCTCTGGGGGGCGGCGCTGAAGCCCGAGGGGCGACGGCCGCGGGCAGCAGCTGCCAGGGGGGTCTGTACAGCGGAGTGGCCGGGGTGGCCTACATGCTCTACCACGTTTCACAGAGCCCGCTATTCGCCGCCGCCCGAGAGCGCTACCTGCGCTCCGCCAAGCGCCTCATCGACGCGTGCTCCCGCGCAGAGGAGTGGGGCGAGCCGGACGCGGACACCCGCGCCGCCTTTCTACTCGGGGGAGCGGGCGTGCACGCGGTGGCCACGCTCGTGTACCACGCCCTGGGCCGCTCCGACTATGTGCAGCCCCTCGGCAAGTTCCGGGCTCTGTGCGCTGTTTGCGCGCCTGTCTCCTTCCTAGAGTGCGGCTCCGACGAGCTGTTCGTGGGCCGCGCTGGCTACCTGTGCGCCGCGCTGGTGCTCAAGCAGAAACTCGCTCAGGAGGTAAGAGGCGGCCCTGGCAGGCGGAGGGCGCTCGCCCGCTGCTTGCACCCCCCGGGGTCCTGCTTTCCCGGACTCCTGGACGCTCTCAGCACCACCCCTGGTGGTGCACCCCTGTCTCTTTCTTGTTACTTCTTTGTCTGACGCTGTGCTTTCTTCAATCGCTTCTGCTTGATTTTCTGCTTCTGTCCGTCTTTCTTTCTCTGTCCTCTCTCCTTTGTTGGATTATCTGGCTTTGTGCTTTGTTCCTGGTATTTGCACTGAACTTAGTGGCATCAGTCCAGATATCTCTTTGCCTCATAGTTTTTTAAGGATTGACCTTGTGGCTCCTAACAGTGAGTGTTTAAAAACGGGGGAAAAGTTATTTTCTTTCCGTTGAACCGGGCTAGCAAGAACACTTTTGAACATTAGAGTCAGAAAAAGTAGAGTCAGAAACTTTTAGGGAGTAATATTCAGGGAAGTTGCTTTTGGGCTCCTGGGCCTGTAACCAATAGTAAGCTGGCCTGCCATAGGTCTGATGTGCATGCTGCATTATTTATATTAAATTCACCCTGTGGCTCATAATAAATGTGTGTTTGATGGGAGTATGGTCTTTTAAACAACTAAGTGTAGACAGAAATACACCCAGTTCAATAAAATGTGCCTCCTTCCCTCCCCCATTTTAGAATCAGTACTTGGGTTGTCCAAAGCCACATTTGTGACCAGGCAGCTTTTGATGACTAGCTTTTTCAGGGTCTCCTTGAAGGCAATTCATTTTCACACACACACACAAACACATACACTATATGCATATTTTTCTGAATTGCCTTTGAATATAGTATGTTGATATTAGAAGAAAATGTGCCAGTTCCCATGGAGTTGAGGGAATTAAAATATAAATAAATAAAACTATAAAGCATTGTAGTAATTAGAACTGAAAGAAAGACACTTTCATTCATAATCCAGTGGAACAACATATTGTTCTAGGGAGGAAGTGACACATTTAACTTGGCTTGCTATGGTGGAAAGACATTTGAAGAAAAAAATAAAAGTATATGGAGCACTTTAAATGTATAATTACCTTGATAATCCGTACACAGGTAGACTTGATTTTTTTTTTTAATTTACAGCAGGTGAAGTTGATTCAAATGAAGAAAAAATTGCTAAAGGATGCATTAAGCTAGCAGAGCAACAAAAGGCCATGTGACAAAGTTGTCTTGAAATAGTTTGCTTTGCTTCTGAGTCATTGTTATCTGCTAGCTATTTCCCAAGGGCCCCTCCCCTTTGTATAAAACCATTTGGAAGGCCACAGAGAGATTTACATATCATTTGCATTAAATTTGCATCTTCTTCCCAAACCCTGCAGTCTCTTGGTAGGCAATTTCAAAAAGCAACAACAACAAAAAACAGCAACAACAACAACAAAAAAAAAAACCTTTCCCAATTGTTTTCTTAAGCCTGTTTCTTCTTGTGCGCATGCCTTCGAGTCTTTTCTCCATAATAGTAGGGAAGAGTAGAAAATCAATCAAAAGACCAGTAGGGCTCTGCACAGAAACTGATGGTCCCAAAAGCAGTCTACAGTTACACACACACACACATACAGGCACACACACACACACACACAATTTAAGATCTTTCTTCTGCCCTCCTGCCAAACCAGATCTGTCTTTTTGTGCTAATCAAATTGAGGTTCTCTGGTGGCTCCCAGGAGATGGAACAAGAAAAAGCTCCAAAGATTTTAAAAGAACAGCTTTTAAGTTGTTAGACTTAACAGCTTTTACGTTGTTAGACTCCTAGTGCTGGCCTCAGTGTCAGCAATCCAAGAAATCAGGCTTTGAATATGTAGTGCAGAGACTGGTACACCTCCCCCTCCCTAACTCCTTGCCAGCAAGCAGCTTTTTTTTTTCTCAGTATATGATCCATGAACCTTGATTAAATTGAATTTGTAACTTGTGTATCATTTTTCTATAAATAATCTGTCATTGTGTCTCAGTACCTTTTTTTCATTCAATCTCATTTACATTCACCTTTCTCTGTCATTTCCCATAGTTATCACCCTAGTTTAGATCCTTCTCACATTATTTGACACATCTGTGCCACCTAATAAGTAATGGAATGAATGAATCACTCTGAGCCAGTATTTTTTTTTTTCTTCCACTAACTCATTCATCAGCCTTTTCAAAAGGCTGGCTTCTTAAAGACACTTTTCATTACTTCATTTTCCTGCGCAGCATCCTTCAGTGGCTGCCTATTGCCTTTTCTCCAGTGGATTCCCATCTCATAGTTAAAACTGACACTTAAAATGGCCGAGAAAACCTCACATGATCAAGCCTACTTTGCTTCTTCTTCAGTGTTTAAGAACCGTACTAGCCTTTTGTTGTTTTAGGCATTCTTTTGTCCCAGGGTGTTTGTACTCTCTGTTCTCCCTGCCTGGAACACTTCCTCTAGATATTTTTATAGCTAGCTCCATGACCTTGGATAGGTCTTTACCTCCTTAGTGAGGCATTTCCTGTCAGCCCTATTTAAAGTTACCCCCTTCCTTGCGTTATTTTACTCAGTCTGTTTATTTATGTCTTCAATAATTAGACTATAAATTCCATACAGTGGGGATATTTTTATGTTTCTATAGCTTCAATACTAACATAGTGCCTAGTATATATGTTTCAGTACCTTACTTTTCTTCTTTATTATTGCAAATATTGTCTATGTACTATGTGGCTTTCATTGCCAACCTACTTTTAAAATGGCATCTCTTATATCAGTATTTCCCATTATGCTAGTATTTCTGGTGTTATGTTTGAAGAAAGCTTTTCCAGTATCTGGATTCTCAGTAAATATCTATTGAATGAGTGAATTGAATAAATATATGGTCTCACAATTTTTTTTCAAATCAAACTGACCCACTTAGATCAGTACTTCTGAAAAATTATTTTGCATGGGAATCACCTGAAGACCGTATCAGCAAAATACAGAAAAATTGACATAAATATTATGAGTATATAGTAAAATATAGAAACATATCTTATTTAGCCTTGGGTTGGAGTTTGATATTCTGCATTTCTAACAGGTCCCTAGGTGGGGCTGATGTGGTTGATTCATAGATAACAATTTAGATTATAAGGCAACACAATACTGTGTGGGTTTGGGTATCACACCAGCCATGTCTATTTATTCATACAGCAACACTTCATTGCATGAAGCTTGATGCATTGATTTATGGGATTGCAGTTTAAAATGGCCATTACAATATCATACTGTGCTTTTGTTATAAGGGTCCATAGAGGAATTTGTCTCAAGAGGTGGAAACAAATAGTTGTGTTTGTTCTCACAATTGATAGAACCAATTTAGTCTTTGAAATGTGCCTTGTGACTGATTGTACTTCTCACTTTCTGTTGCCCACTAGAAAGCATAAGTCCAGAATTATGAATCACATGCCCTAGAATACAATGCTTCCTATATATTCATACATCAGTATTTACCTCTAAGTTTATCTAATTTGTTCCATCCTTAGATTACTCTTTTTTTTTCACTTCATTTTTTGAAGTTTCCATTTGCGTTCATATAATTGAGAAATGTTTAAAATATGTTATATAGAGAGAAACAAACATAGACACTGAATTACCCTATCTACATAACATATTTCCAGTGAATTTACCTCCTAGAAACACATAAGGAAAGCGAGTTTGAAGTGTATAAGGCTTACACAGTGGGCCACTGAAGTTTCAAGAAATAATGCCATAAATATTTGTTGTCAGTCTGTTCTGCCTTCCAATGACTGGTGGAGAATAAGGAGGGAATGGTAAAGGAGTTAAGGGAAATCTAGGACATCAATAAAATAACTTCCTCACTCAATGATTTTGGACAAATAACTTCAAAATTCTGAGCCTTGACTTCCACATTCATAATTGTCAGAGGGGCCATCGTGGACCAAACCTTCCAGACTAGAAGTCTCAAAAAATAGAGTAGGAGATATGGGAGTTCAAAGGCATAGAGGGTTCCCAGTTGGGAGCGAATTAAAATCAAATCCCTTGGGGCCAAGTTATCCAAAGTTAGGAGCTTGCATTTGTTCCGTGTTTAAACAAGAGGGTATATTGATCTCATTTACCTTTAAAAAAAATTCACCGATTTTCTGTATGTTGAGTAAATTGTCAGTATTAAGAATGATATGAGGATAGGGTTGTAGTTTCTAGTAGAAGCATGTGTGATTAGCATGTGAGAAGCCCTGATTTTGCTTTCTAGCACACACACACACACACACACACACACACACACACACACCTTCAAGAAGTGTTTATTCGTGGCTCTTTTAAAATTCTTTTTGCATCAAGGACTCCTTGGTCAGGCTGGTGAGCTTTTAGGAATGCTCAGGATAACATTTACCAATATATAAATGAAAACTTGGAACTAAAAAATGAACAAAATCCATTGTATTCAATTCCAAGACCAAAACATTTTAAAAATGGAATGTGGCAGCATATGTGCTTTTTAATTAACACATTAGGATTTGTTTTTCAATGAATGGTATGTTTACGCTATGATGGAAACAGGAGTCAGTGATAACTTTGAGATATCTTCAACAACTGCAGTAGGATACACACGTATCTTTGGCTTTTGTAGGTGACAGTTCTGTAGGTGGTTGTAGTGTGCATTTTTAAAACTTAAATTATTTTTTTTGGAGAAAGAGTCTCTCTCTGTCTCTGTCTCTGTCTCTGTGTCTTTCTCTGTATCTCTCAGCCTGGATGGCCAGGAACTTGCTATGTATACCAAGCTGGCCTTGAATCTGCCTGCCTTGGTTTCAAGTGTTGAGATTAAAGGTATGTACCTTGATCACCGGCCCAACATTTGCTCTGGGGCTTAGTTTTGTTGGTGGTTCCCTCGAGGCTGTGTCTTACTGCTCTTTAACTCACTGTGTAGCTTAGGCTGGCTTAAAACTCAGAGCAAGCTTCCTGCCCCAGCCTCCCAAGTGCTGGAATTACAGGTGTAAGCCATCATACCCAGCTTATATTTGTAGTAAAAGGAAATT